ACTCACAGGTGGTCACTCTGCAGGGCACACCTATGTCCACATGTGTCTTATCACACAGGAGGAATCTTTCTGCACATCAAGTCCTCATATTTCATTCTGGGTGCAAACGAAACTGTTTAATAAACTTTGACCATTAAGGTACCATATCTTCCTTTGATCACTAACACAGGCCACTGTTTTTCATAGATCAGTTGTCTGGACAGTGTGGGAGCGTTTTGAGGTCTGCATTAGTAGGATATTTACACTTGAAAACATACTGATGATCCAAACCAAGGACTAACACCTTCGATCAACCATAAACTGCCATCCCTAGTCTTGACCTGACACCTCTCTGGGTAAGAGCAAGGAAGTTTCAAGAAAGGAAAAGAAATTAATGAGCTGCTTTCAGGGACAAACTCATTTCTCCCCTTCCCTTGCAAAGGTCTCGCTTACATGACAATCCACTCCCAAGAGGTATCAGAAGCCACAGAGGGCTTTGCTGGTCCTTCCATAAAACCAGCGCTACACCTTAGAAACAGGCCCACGTGCAGGACTTTGCTGTGCTACCACTGAAGGGAGGAGAGTTGAGGTTGTGCAGCTTCTTAGGGCTGAAACTAAACACCCCCTCAGATACAGCCAAGGTGGGACAAGCAGCAGGAAGCTGACACCGCTTGTCTTCCTAAACTGGTGCTTTGGCAAGTCTCCCCACTTCCTGCACATAGCAAAGGAAAAAACAAAATAAGAAGAAAAACAACCCACTCTAGCTTTCAAACACAGCACAGTCTCAAACTCTGGGTGGTCAGAAGCTGAAGGGCACCAGCATTTGGTGGATGTATCACTGTTCCTTCTCTCAGAATCAGCCTCTACAGCCCACAGGCCATTTCAAAACCCAGAGTCATCCTCCTCAGAGCAAAACAGCTGTCAACTCGGGCCTGTTCCGTGAAGCCTCTTCTCCACGCAATCCAAAATGCATACCACTGACGGCTGGCCACAAGCTTGACCTATCCTGAGGATTTCATTCATCTCTCCGCAGCATCCCACTGACAACTCCAGCAGTTTGTGTTATGACAAAATGTGGCCATTAACCGTGGTTTGGTTTTAAAACAAAAGCCTAGTCTCTAGGCACTATTTTTTTTACCTTTCGAAAGGGTGGAAGGAGTGGGGAGATGAAAATATTACTGGCACAAGTGAGTCAGTATTAAAATGTTTTCTTTTTTAAGAGAGAATGTACTTAGACCACACTGTCCTCACTGTGCGTTTCACTGCCTGGAGCCTCCACAAGTATTGGTTTTGTATTTCTGGTGGCTTTGAACAAGGAGAGGGTCACATACTCTCCCTGAAGGTTGTGCTATTTCAATCAGCATCCATCTCCGATCATTCGTACTCTCTCCACACGTACCCCGATCCAGGAGAGAGTCTCAGATGGGCCCATATAATCCTCGCTTTTAGCCGTGTCTACAGTGGCAAAACTCAGTTTGATAATTCAATAACTGGTAGAAATTTTAGTCTCAGGCTTGGTTTTGTTTTCAGCCATCAGGGAACGGCCAGCAGTGCCTTGCGATTCCATGCAGCAGCGCACACATCTGGACTGAAGTCACACACTCACGCTGTTACTGTCCAGATGAGTTTTGTTTTTTTTTTCACTTTGCTCAAGTAATATTGAATTAAGCCACTTCATTACACTTCATCGGAGCCAAGGGATACTTCCAGGCTGTGTGCTTTGGTGAAGATTAGTATATAGTGAATCTTTCTCTTATCTCCTGCCCTCCCAAACTCATTTCTTTGAGAGGAACAAGCAGGTTTCTTCGTATTTTTTTCCCTCAGAGGTGCACGTTGTCTTTCTCTTGCAAACTGCTGGATTAAATCCATGCTTGCCAGCTGCCCTGTTAAGAATTATTTGTGCCCAGAAGTATTTTATTAGCTACCAATAATTGCCTCAGACAACTGTTAACCTCATAAAAGCCAAGATTAACATGGTGACGTTGAACTTTCTCTTGAGACTGCCAATGTTGACGAAACAGGCATTTTCTGTGGCCTTCAGAGATGAATTTTCCCGACGAGATGGAATATTTGACAGCAGAACAAGATGAAAAAAAGGCACTACTTCAACTCTTTCTGTTTCACCTGCTAGTTTACCAGCTAGACTTCAAGATCTGTACAGACTCTTCCTTATGCAATAAAATGTCAGGAAATATCAGGATGTTATTCAAACCATTACTGCAAAGGAAGTGTGACACAACTATTTTAGTATTTTTTTTTTAAAGTCAAAGGCAGATGTTGTTTTTTGGATCATAAGATGTCTGCTAAAATGCAACAGAAGCCTTACAAATATTTAGCAAGTTCCTTCAAAAATAGTAGGGTTTTTTTTGTAATTTAACTTTCTAGTGTTCTCAAAAAGAAAATAAAACATTAAATCCCAAATTAATCCGCTGAGACAAAGGGGGAGAAAAAAGCACTTCAGATTTCCCCTACTCCACCCTACCCCAGTAACAGCAAGTGAATTGATGATCAAAAACCAAAACCACTCATAGAATACAGCTCCTTAAGGCATACGAGAAGAATCTGAAGCATTTTTCCCCTCCATGCAGAGACATTAGTGAACAGCTAAATATAACTTTTTAGTTCAAGAGGGTTTACAGGCCAAAGTCTACTCAGGTCACCAATGTGGCTGCATGTCTGAATGTATAGCAGCAGCAACTTACGGAGTCAGGACCTCAAATGAAGTGGTAAGCAGCATCTAATATCTTACTTTATCTGTATTTTAACATCTGCATATTTTTAATATATAGAGGACAATTAGTATAGATGAAAATTAATATATGAACAGTTTTACATACTGATACATACCTAGAATACATACACATGCATATATTTATACACAAGCACACATGTTTTCATCTGTGCTCTTACACTTTACATGTACATGAAAGAGGTGCTTAAGCTGAAAGGGAAAAGGACGGAAAAGGGCACATTCTTCTTGCAGCTGCAAGAATCTGTGAGCCACGCTTTGGCCATCTCTGTGCAGATGGTGTGACAAGTCCCGCAGACTCATCCGAAGCGCAAGTTTCATTAGCCAAATGTCTCCCTCCTTTCCACCAGTATAAATAAATAAAGAAAGAAGAAAAAGAAACAAAGAGAGAGTCTTGAGGGACTGGATGAGTCAGAGGTTAGTAATGAACTACAGACACTCATCCCTGGGTCGGCAGCTCAGGCCTAGTCCATGTCAGGAGGGACGGCAAATTGCTGGCAGTTTGGACCTAGAAGAAGCCGCTTTATGATTCTCCATCCCAACGGCAGAATCCCCTCGGCATGGCCACTGAGAGCGGCAGGAGGAGCATGACAGAAGGGAACTGAAAGACCCAAAATACTTGCTGACCCTGGAGAGATACCACCCTGGTGACTCCCATCTGAGCTGCTGCCGTTGCTCCATCCGTAGGGAGGCTTCTAGCACCCACAGATGCCAAGTATGTGCAGATGCCAAAGTGCCCAGTGTCAAAGGACAGACATCACAGCTTAAAAGTGCAATCTGATTTTGGCATGTTTTTGGTGTGGTATTTCAAACAAAGATACAAGGTACCAGTCACTTTTGAAACAAAGAGTTAGTCAATTTGTTAGGAACAGGTTATGTTATGTTATCCTGTACTTTTATTCTCTTTCCCGCAATGCATTACTTGTTTGCTCAGTTTACTCTGAAAGAAGGTTATACACATATAAAAGCTGACAGTTCTCCTTAGAAGAGGCAACCTTAGACCTGACATATGCTGTGGCCCGTTTTGGTGACCGACCCACAGCAGCGTATCAATCACTTCCACATTCACTTGGCAGAGGTTTTTCCTCCAGCTCCAGAAGTGGGATCTCTCCTTGTGAAATTTAAAACAGGCCAACGATCACTATTTCTTATTCAATGTGGCTACAAATGAACAATACAGCTAACATCTATGAAATCTGCATGACCATCTGGACTTCCATCAGCTCTTCAAGTGGGTATTGACGTAACATCCCAACCAGCAAGCGCATTACCCCAGGAAGCACTCCAGCAACCTGCAACGCGAAGCACAAAGGGAACACTGACCTTTTGAAACTAACACCTTCTTCCCCATCACTTATGTATCTAAGTATTTACCTTCATTTCCCCAGAGGCCATGCTCCTCACAGAACACCTATTAACTAACTCAATGTTGCCCTCACAACAGCAAACCATCAAAGGCAGATCTCCCAAAATGGTATCAATGGAAAGGCTGGAGAAAGAAGGACCAGAAAGAAGAACACTCAGGAAGCTTTCACAGAGGAAAGAAACAGAGATTTTTTTTTTTAAAACACAGCTCTTTCTGATTTCTTTTTTCTGTCTGCAGCAGAGGAACAGTTACGATCCGGACACATTTCAGCAGAAGTAATGAAACACTTGTACCACAGCATTACTTTGACATTTAATTGACCCTGTATTTCCATTTTTTTTTTGCTTTGCACAATACCCCCATCAGAAATCCCTTGGAATTACCCCTTCTAAAATTAATCACTCCATTTACACTTGTTTGGATTTATGTGTTGCAGTTTCTGCTTGTCCCCTTTGCTGAATTTTCTTCTGCTTTATTTACTTTAATGTAATTCCACCTGGGAGCAGGTCGAGTCTGCACTAATTACCAGCATTTGTCAAGCAGGATATGTCCTTTATGCTGGTAGTATGAAGTTTAAAGAGGATATGTGTATTTCAGTACACAAGAGCAATGCTAGCATAATAACGTTAGTTCAAAAATCTATTGCCTCACATCAGATTCTTGCTCTACTTAAAGACAACACAAAGGATACAGCCTAGGCTACAACACTGTGGACTTTCTCCATCTGTGGTCCATTTCACACTCTACTATGCCCATTTCTTACAAGGAAAGGACCATTTGCTAACATAACTCTGTTAATGTGAACAAACATGGTATTTATTTAGCAGTCCTCTCAACATGAATGCACCTGCTCAGCCATCCCCAGGACAGCAGCTGGTGGCACAGAGCGTGCCGCATCTTGCGTACCTGTTCTGATGCTCCTGCAGCACCTGGTAGATGCTGATAAGGAAAGTTTGGTTTTTAAAGCTCCCCACAACGCAGTCCTTGTAGATCCGAAACTCAGCAGCTGTGACGGCCTCGCCCTCAGGAATCTGAGACAAATTAAACTTGAACTCCTTGTGGTGCCGCTGGTGAGGCGTGAACTCCTTGTCATACTCAACTGCAGATGGGAAAAGGAAAGAAAAGGGAAAAAAGGAACCATGACTAAAGTTTAACAACAAAAGGTTTCCACATGCAGCCACCTGTTCCTTCAACAAAACAAGAATCCTAATTTTTCTCCAAAGATAGCCTTGGCAAGTGCCAGGAAAGCTTATGCGGCTTAAGCCTTTCAAATACTTTCCTCAGAAAAGATGAATGTTCACCTTCTGTAGCCAAAGTCTTTGAGATTTCCTATTTTTTAAAGAAAGCCAGCTCTGACAGGTGAAATATGACCATGCATTTTGCTCCAGTGTGGAGCAAACTCTGAAGCTGTGACTGACCCCAGCATTTTCCACCTCTGGATCTCCATGTACTTTACAGCATTTCTTCATCTCCCAACAGAGGAGGCAGTTAACTCCATTTTGCTTTAGCACATAAAGGCACAGACAGAATTAAGTATTAGCACCAGGTCCCTAACTTTGCTAAAAACTGCTCTTTTCTGGCTCCCGGGTTTAGGCGTTAGCCATCAGACTGCCTCATCAGCAGAATAAGGTTAACATGACATTTATTTCAAGGGTTAAAGTTAACCAGAGCTCCCCTTCCTTTTACAGACACTTATTTGAGAATGAGAGAGCTGAGAAGTAGTAACCCCTTTGAGTTTCTGGCCTTAGTCCTTCTCAGGTATGCTGTCAGGTATAGAGTTTAAGACAGATGCAAACCAGAACCCCTCCTTCTTCGGGCCTCAAGATTTGCATTTTCTGTTTGAGGCCCCCTTTGCAAACTCTACTTGTAGTCCTACTCTTGTATTACTTGACTACATCTTGATTCAGTCTGACCTTGATTTATTGTTCGTTATTTCTTCTAACTTTCTATCAGAAATTGCTTAAAACATTAACATGTTATATAAACATACAAAATTGCATCTTTACAGCCCCAAGAGGAAAAAAATAAAACCAAAAAACTCTTTCCACCAGTGCAACTGAAGGAGTATATGTCAGTGATGAATAAGTCACCATTATATTATCATTAGGGACATGATTACATTCAGAGAAGGCGGTGAGGGAAGAACAGATTCCTTTTCACGTTCGTCTTCGTGCTCATTTTTTGTTGCTCCCCCCTCGCAATACATCAAACTGCAAAGGCATCCACGAGACTACCCTCACAACATCCCATGAGGTAAGCAGCAATCCCCATTTGACAGCTGGGATACTGAGTCACCAGGAGAGTGACTTGTCCAAGGACAGCAGAGACTCGCAATGGAGCCAGGAACAACGGACAACGTGCTTGAGGTTCGTTGCTTTACTCACAGGTTACCTCCTCGGAGACCAGATGCATCTCCTGACCACCGGAAAAAGCCCACAGAGATTTTCCTCTCTACCCTTCCCAACTGCCTTCTCATTCCCCGGTCCCAGTTTCATCTGTGTCCTCTCCCTTTCCTTTGGCAGCCCTTTCATGTGAGCTGCCTCATCTGGCTGGGTCCGTGTCCTGGCTCCCTGCGAGACACTTAGTCACATCCTTCTCTTTGAAGCTCGCCTGGAAATCTTTTCACCTCCCCATGACTGCTGCTGAGCATTTTGTGGGACACCGCACTTGGAGATGCTCCATTAAGAGCTGCCATGGGGCGACCAGGCAAACTTGCAAACCGCTGTTAGACTTGGATGCTGCTGCCAATTTTGGCAGTCTCGTGTTGCAGCTGTCTGAGCAGTCTGGATGTCAAATGACTGACAAATGCGGGTAACCGAACCCTATGGCTTCCAGAAAGGAGGTGGTAACATACGCGAAGGCAAATGATGGTACTGCTCACTTCCAGTGCCACCAAGGAATTACCTCGCTGGCCATCAGTTATTGGCAACCTGGGCTTCCCTTTGAAGCATGCACCCCTGCTTTTAATTCGGAAGGACTCTGGCAATGCTGCTCTGATTGGCGGGATTCATGTGTACGCCCTTTGAGAAAAGGCCTGAGCTGTCTGGTTACTCCCCACCCTGCGGCGAGCACCGCAGGACACACATCCCAAAACAGAGTGGCCACGTACTTTCAGAAACTAGCAAGCATTCAACCAACAAGAAACCGTATTCGGTTGCTTGCAGCAGAATGACGCGCCCAACTTGGCCTTTTTACTTGCTGCTACAAGACGAGAGGATGTAACTAATGGTGAGGGAATGTCTAAATCCACAGGTTTGGAGAGACACATGTATGAAGCAACAGTTCTTGATTTAGAACCTGTGAAGTCCTTGCTCACGGGTGCAATAACCAGCTGAAACCCACGTCCCCTCTCACACCTTTGTGGGCTCAAGATGACCTGCAGATGAGATACAAGGGTCACAGTTGAGGATGATAAAGGAAGATCAGGAAGAGCAAGGGGAAGGACACAACCAGGATGAGCAGCAGAACCCCATCAGGGTGCCAGAAAACTAAAAGTACACCAGAGAGAAACAGCAAAGGGAATATTTGATGCTTCCTGCCAGCTATGGCCCCATGTCGATGTGAGGTGGCGTCTCCAAGCATACGAGGGAGAGTGCGGAGCTGTCGCACCTGGCATGGGGCAAGAATAGCACAGGGCTCAAAACAAGCCAAAATGTCACTTTTTGCTCCTTTCAGACCTCAAGTCAGCTACAATGGCTTGCCTCTACTACAAAATACTGTTTAAAAGTGATATAGCCAGACTCTAGTCCATCAAAATCAGTATTTTCCCCTAATCCTCTTCTAAAAAGTAAAACAAGAGGAAGAAAAACCCACCAAAACATCTATCACAGAGCATCAAAAGTAGAAGGAGGTATGATGCATGACTCCAAGTACCCTTTCCCAGTTTATAAATTGCCTGATATATTTACAACAGTATTTTCCTGTTTTTAGAATTTTCTTCCTTTATCCCTTTCCTTGTCTGAATATGCCACACAATCACAGAAGCTGACTAAAGTGATTACAGGGGAAACGTTCAGACCGATTTCATTATCAGGCTTTGCAGAATAAACAACCTGAAAGACACAAACAAGGAAACCTTTTTTTAATCCTTCAGATTAAGTAATTTAGCTTTTTCTGTTATAAGAAAGGCACGTTCAGAAAGAAATACTGTTAAGTTGATGGTGTCCTCCTCAGCTGCACTCAGAAGCGTCCCTACAACATCAGATGGAAAAAAGCCTACATTAAGCTTGTATGAAGCAAGTATAAAAGTTTAACAAGTTGGAAAGTTTTTCTGGCTATGTATCTTCCCATGATACAATGGAGGATTTTTTTTATTTTTTTCCTTTGTGGGAGTGGTGAGATATTTAAGTTCTATATACTCATTGTCACCCCATCAAGTTAATAACTGTTTTCATTCAGCAAGGCAGCTTAAAAATATAAAATGCCAACAGTTCTTCTCTAGGGGCTTCTTACCCCCTGGAAACTGTTCATTTTTAACAAAGAAGTCAAGTTTTAGAACAGTAAAATCTGGACAGGCAAGATCCAAGCTGCCAGTTCCCAGGATTACCCAGTCTGTATTGCTATCGTGCTACAACGCATCAGATGACCTCGTATTCAAAATCCAGACAGCACATGCCAAAATGCAAGACAACAGCAAAAAGGAGAAATCATTTCTCAAGCTGCTTTCCAATTTTCATTTATTTTTTTTCCCACGTGAATTCATTTACGTCAGTCTGATCAGTGACATGTGAAATCCAAAGCTAATTTCTGCCCGAAGATGGACACATGCATGTCCCCACCATGCAAAGCTCTGGCAGGTAAGACCAGGCAGGTTGAAAGCAAGCAGCCCTGAGTGGTGCTGGGCTCCCATAACCTCTCCAAAGTGCTGGCTGGCACATCGGCACCAAGCCAGGCAAAACCAGGGATTACAAGGTCATGACACAAACTGCACTGTTTAAAATCCATCCTCATGCTCAGACTTTATCCTGCACATTATTACTCGTTTGCCAGAGTAGCTACTTGGAGAATACAGATCCAAGCATGCGTGTACCGGGGCAAGTTGGGAAGGGAGAACATGGCAAACAGAGGCTTTAGCCCATCATGGGTGCACATCCTCTGAGCCAAAGGGTCTGCTCCACTGTGCAGGTCTCTGCTCCCAACCACGCTGGGGCTTTGGCTGCTCCTTTGGTTGCAACGCAAAGGGGGATCTGAGCTGTGGACACTGGGAGTACTCGCTTCTGAGTTTTCATTACAGCTTATTTCTGAGCCAAGTGGATGAACACACAGAAACAGTTAACAGAGCAGCCTGCCAGTAGCTCTTTACATTCCCCTTAGCAAACATTTTTAAACACTACACAAACACAGCACTATTGTTCAGCAGTTAAAAAGACAAGAATGGCAAAATTAGGGTTACTGTGGTTTTGAATTTTGTGTATTCTAATTCTAACCCAATGTTGCAATAGCCAATTTCAGCACAAAATGTCCTTGGTTTAAAAATAACACACTGCTTACAATACTTGTTGCTTTAAAAGCATTGCACCAAAAAAAAATAATTAAGAAATTAACACATTGCATTTATTTTGGTAACTACATCATCCTACTTCCATTTGAGTGTGTTGGATACACCTTGGACCAAAGAAAATGTAACTCTAATGAACAGTCGTGGAAATAAACTCTCCTTGTCTGTAGGCATTTTCAGCATTTCTTTTTCGATCTAAAGAAATCGGTATGCAGAAATAAGAGGACAACAATCCTTCCCAAGTAAACACAACTTTCACGGAGAACAACAGCACCAAGTGTCAGAATATTTGGTGTCTTCATCCAGTTCTCAGTTGTTGAGAAAAGTGTTAGGTCAGGTCCTCGAGTGAGAATCTCAATGGTGGCTTAAGAAAGTCTTTAGTTTATACTCCTGGAGCTAAAACCAAAAATACAAACATGCATACTCAAAAGCTAGAGCTCTAAAAGCAAATGTTGTAAAGTATATTGTCTACATAAATTATTAGAATTTCTACAACAACCTCGCTTGCTGGAAGGGGCAGAGATGGAGCAGGGTCACAAATTAATGATACACGACTATTTGAGAGGGGACGTTTTGCATCTGCCCTGACCTCAGCAAGACTGAAACTTCTGAATAATCTTTTGCAACCCAAGATCTTCAGTGATGA